TTAAATCAATCAATTTTGCATTACTGCCAGTTATATTTGCAGGAGGCATGGAACTTTATTAACTCTCAGAAATGCCATAAGATAACAAAAGCACTAGCAGGCTGATAATTAAATGTATCTTTTAATTTCCAGCCTATTAAGGGATTTGCCTCACGTCACTTTAAAGGTTTTTGTCACTCTGGAATGGTGCCTTCTCCATCCAGGCTACACAGGACCAACAAGAGGCAGTACTGGGTCCTGACTGAGCTGACTCTGCTACAGCACTCCAAAATAAAGCCACAACAGGAGATGAATATGCCTTTAAATCTCAGTATTTTTTCAAGCTATACAAATCATGGAAAAGACTAAATTTGTTACCCTATGCATTTGATTAAAGAAATGTTTTTTTTTCTCTCAAAATGAAAAATTGCCAAGCAGATATATCTTCATTATCCTTAATGAAATAGTGATGGTCACTTAGTTTTCAGTGTGTAGAGATCCTGTGTCACATGTACCACCGTTTGCTATTCTCTTCAAGGATCTGATGCCACAGGGGCTACAGAAGTCCAACACACCTCTCATGCAAGAAGAGCCCTTCCATATTCCCTGAGGGCTTACAGTACTGCTTGGTCATAAGCGTTTACTTTTCCTAGAGACTGCTGTCAGCACCCCAATCATTTCCCCAGTGACTCTGGTGATTTAGTGAATGAATTAGATAGGTTTGTACCCCTGCTGTTTTCAGACGTGCCATAGTGCTCATAAGTTCATTTAAAATAACCACATAGTTCTTTATCCTCCTAAAAACATGTAATAGATATTTACTGCCCATTATTTTCTGTTTCTAGTAAACATATTTGGTATGTTTACTAGGAACTCTGATAATTAGCACATGTGCCAGAAAGGATTTTGTCCCAGCACCCATTTCTTTGGTACTGGACTATCGTATTTTTTAGGACCCCCAGACAATCCAGGTATTGGCATACGAAGAAAAACAGCTATGCATCTCCTTTACATAGTACAATCAGTAATAACAGCAGTCTTAAGCACAGACTGGAAGATGACAAACTCTGGTAACTACTAATTTGCTGCCTTTAACCACAGGTGCAAGATTTATAGTTCCAAAACAAAATCTAAGATAAATCCTAAATTTATATCCAGTAAATATCCACCCGATAGAGTGATTTTACCCTCAGGAGAGAAAATTTAATAGGATAAGAGGAAACAAAAGAAAAATGAGTGAAAGAGAAGACAGGAGGGAAAGAAGGAAAAAACAAAATCAAGAACAAAACAAAACAAAAACCTGAAAACAACTTTCACAGGAATACAACAACCACAACAACAAAAACCGAATCAACAACAGCAGCCAAAACCCCACAAGTGATGGAAGAAAGAGCTCACCTATGATTTCAAGTCCACAGTTATCATCTGGGGTCTATAGTTTTGTGCAAGTGTCCAGGTCAGGGCATGGCTCTTCTCTCTCTGGAGGCAGAGGAAGCGGCCGGAGCCCAGATCCTTGCTAGAAGATCCCAGCCAGCCCACTACTGGGTGAGGGCCAGGTGCCAGTTCTGGTGCTTTTGAGTCCACAGAAGTTCAGTCTGATCCTGGGCTCTGGTTGTGGGATTGGGACCTGAGACATTTAATTTATAAAACTCTGGGTGTCTTCTGCCTGCCTGACTGCAGTTCCCTGGCCTTGGATCAAGTCTATTGTGGTTGCGCCTCACCCATTCACTGTGAGTTCTTAGCATTGGGAGCCCTCAGATGAAGCCAATCTACAGCTTTCTGAGTCTTGAGTTCAGACGTCTCCTCCCCAAAATAGTGTCTGCCCAAGCCCCCTCTGCAGGGCACACTGCAGTCTCTGAGACTGGGCCATCAGCTGTCACAGCACACAGCATCCTGTGCTCTGTCCACTGAGGCATTTCTCCTCGGAGGCCTCTGGAGTCGCCCGCTTTCACTGTGTCTCTGTGGATTCCACCTTCCTTTCTCTTGCCAGGAGGCAGGAGGCAGGAGAGAGTGGAGATGGCCCTCCTCTTCCTGCATGGAGCTCTTTCTCTTCACTCTCTCCGCCAGCTCCAGTTCTCCCTTCGGGTCCTTCCTGTGTGCTGCGAGCACCAAATGCCCAGCATCACACACCCAGACCGGCCACCTCCAAAAAGCACCCTCTGTGAGCACATGAGGCTTCTGGGGTCATCTAGATACTAGCCATAACAATCCCCCTTAAATGGTCAGGACTTTCCCTGCCTTAGCTGCCTTCTTTCCCACCAAGAAAACCCTGAGGACCCGGAGGAGAGGCCAAATCTAATGGTCTGATACTCCCAGGGAACTTGCCAACAACTGATAAGAAGAAACCATGAAAAAGATTGATCAGCTTAGATATATAAAGATTATTTTTATAAACCACTGACAATGATATTAAACATTAGGTAAAAAATCAAGTTGGAAAAACATTTCAGCATTTATGTCAGAAACAGTTTTAATAAGAGAAACAACGCTTTTCTACAGGGACAGGAAGCCTTCGGACCTTCACTCCTTCAGAGATGACAGCCAGAGGTCCAAGTCCTCATCTGCATTGACATTGACATTGTCACTGTCATCATCTCCAGCAGCAGTAGCAGGAGGAGTGAGCAGTCCGAACCCTACCAGCTCACACTTCTGAGCATTTCACCTGTGTGAGCTTTGTCCTACCTGCTTCCTAATGTCTCCAGGAAGGTGGAGGGGAGAGGAGGGGGAGGGAGAGAGAGATAGAGAGAGAGATAGAGGGAGAGAGAGAGAGAGAGAGAATAAAACAATGAACTGTGTGTTTATATTTCTTAAGTTGCAATTCTAACCTCTAAGGTGATGGTAAGAGGTGGGCGTTTGGGAGGTGCTTTGGTCATGAAGGAGATCTCGTAAGTGGGGGACCCCAGCAAGCTCGCTCAGCCCTGCTACCTTGTGAAGTCCAGGGTAGAAGCAGTGAGTGTGGAAGTTGGCCCTCCCCAGCGGGGCGCCTGTCCTGACCTGGCCTTGGACTTCTCGGAACTGTAATAAACAAGTTTTGTCAGTTTATGAGCCACCCAGTTTATGGTATTTTGTTAAAAGCATCTAGAACTCAGGCCCAGGGACTCCGCTTTCCTGATTTTACAAGTGAGAGTATTAAGACAAAAAGAGCTAGGATTATACAAGTAGGAAGCGGAGGAGCTGGAATTTAAACCCGGGCTACAGGAGCTTCATTTCTTCATTTGTTCCCTGAAGAGGCAAGAACAGCAGAATAAAAATACAGAAAGTTAGTGGGACCCACAATGTACAATGCACCCCGTGAAAGTGAAAGGGGAGGAACTGTCTAAAAAAGGAAGGCAGAGGCCATTGTTAATGGTGTATCAGGATTTAAAATCCACATTATTCTCATCGCTCTGTTTAGTTTGATTTTATTCTGTTCCAGTTTGTCTACTTGTACTAGATTTACTTAATCTGAAGCCCTGTATTACTTATACTGTCTTATTATAACTGATATTATTTGAATCTGGCTTGTTAGATTGCTATTTTGTCTTGACTGATTTTATTCGAATCTATTATGTATGATAGTATCAAGTGTGAGAGTATAGGCAAATACTCTGAAGACTATAAGATTCACTAGGATACCAAGTCTGGTTTGACTATTACCTGCTTTTGAGGTCTAATAGTGTCTCCAATGTTTTGTTTTTTGTTAATATTGTTATGTACTGCTATGTTCAATTATACTATGCCTGATGATATAGATAATTCTGTTGACAATAACAAGAGACATCATAGTAACCATTGTAGATCATCTTGTATTGTGGTTTTATATGTCTTTTTTGTTTCGTGTTTTTCTAGGAATTTGTTTTGTCTTGTTTTTCCCTCTAATACAGAAAGGATAGGTATACATGTAGGGACTCATGCATACGTAGAACTTCTCTTGAACAGTTTATGAGAATCAGTTATATAACGCACGGTGAAATGAACAGTTACTTTGAAGAAAAAGAGACACTAAGGCACCCAGTGCTGATTCCACAGCACCATGATGTAAAATCCAGCAATACTATTGTTTTTTGTTCAGAGTGATTTTGGTCTGTTTTGTTTTAATTTCAACATATGTGAAGGTATGGACAGCTATTTTGAAGAGAATGAGAGACACTATGGCAGCCACTGTTGACTTCCTTATTGTCTGGTCTTGAAGACCTAAAATGCCTTCAACCTAAAATGCCTCCTGTTCTGATCAGTTTTATACTATTTTGTTTTGTATGAATTCTCTGCATGTGAAGATATGGACAACTATTTGGAAGAAAACAAGGGACAGTGTGATACTGAAGATCTGTTGTCTTGCTTTGAAATCTGTGTCTCTTACATTGTTTTCTTCTGATCTGTTTTGTTACGTTTAATTTTACCGTCTTTAAAATAAAATTAAAAATACAGAAATAAAGGAAAGAAAGATGTAACACAACTACCTAACACATGTATACATGTATAGTGAATCTAATACACTAAAAGTGAACGCTATAATGAGATGTAATTTTTGCGAAGTTTCTGAAAAATACTGCCAAAGCAGGCTACACTATAGGGACCTATTTCAACGAGACTATAAGGAGCCCACTTTTTAAATATAATAAGCATTCAATACGAGAATACTTTTTAACATTTCAATTTTTAAACACTGACTACTCAGCGGTTTACCAGGGCGCCCCGGCAAGCACAGTGCGCGCGGGGCGCGGCGGGTCGGAGTGACCGCCAGGAACGCGCCTTCCAGCGCGCACGACCGATCCCGGCGCCCGCGGTCACAGCGGACGGACGCGGCGGACCCGAGAGGGCCCGGACAACGCCGGAGGCGAACCTTCCCAGGCCGGCCGCAGTGTCCCTGGGACGGCGGCGACTCTGCGCAGCGCGCGTCCCCGGCTCGTGCACCTCCTGCTTCTCCGCGCGGCTGGGAGCCCGGACGGGGCTGCGCCGAGCGCCGGGGCGAGCGCACGGGGCCCCGGGGGAGCGGGACCGGCCGCGGCGCGGCGGCAGCGGCTTGGAGCAGGGCCGCCCCTTCCCGCGCCCCCTTCCGGCCGCAGCACCGCGCGCCCCCCGCTCCCGCGCTCTCCATCCCGCAGCCGGGCATGGGCGGGCCGCGCGCCGCGTCCTGCTTGTGGAGCTGGCTGCTCCTCCGCGGCTGCATGCTCGCTGGAGCCCAGGTGAGTTGGAGTCCGCGCCTCCAGACGCCCTGCGCCCCGCGACCCGAGACTCCCCGCACCCTAATCCCTAGGCACCGCGCACCCCGAGACTTCCGCACCCGGAGACACCCCACACCCCGAGATTCACCGTACTCCGAGATACCCCGCACCTCGAGACACCGGCACCCGGAGACACTCAGTACCCTGACACCCCGCACCCTGAGACGCCCCGCACCCTGAGACTCTTGCACCCCGCGCTGCTGGCCGGCGGACCCGGGACCGCACCTTCGCTAGCAGGGCCACCCATGCACAGAGTGAGAACTTTGCTCCCGCTCGGCACTCGGGTTTCTCCTTTCCTCTGCCTGCGGTTCATCACCGCGTTGAAAGCCGAGAACCCCGGCGCCCTGGGCCCAGGCTCCGAGAGGGTAATGGGGTGTCGCGGACCCCAAAGCTGGGAGAGCAGAGGGGGAGACCCGCGTTCCGGGGAGGAGCGGCTGTCTGTCCTCTCCCGTGACTTTTCACCTCCCAGGAAGGTGCGAGATGCCTTTATCTGCACTTTTATTCTTTTGGACTGAAATTAAATGTAGGATTCGCAGTCAGGATTTGCAGTGAGCTGGAAGGGCAGCGTGGGGGTTGTGTCCTGAGTTTGAAAGCTGCGCGTTTCCGCGGGGCCGGGTGATCACTCTGCCGGCCGCTGGGGGGCGCGCCGTGACCGCTGCTCGAGGTCCAGCTCTTGGTGCTTTAGACCTCTTGGACTGAGACCAAGTCACAGCCTTGATTTAGGCACTGATAGGGACCCCTATGCGAAGATGTGTTTGGCTTTAAAAATGATTAGGTTAAATTTTAATCATTCTAAAAGTACAACTTAAAAAAAAATCAGTGTGTCATGGTTGTAACCACGTGAGTTAAAATTGCTAGGAAATAGGGGTGTAACGTGCCCAGGGTGCTTCATGTAGACTTATATTTTTGCTAAAAAATCAAATAATCGTGTGTCATGTATTAACCCATAATATCAGTAGTGGATGCTTAAAAATAGGGTGAGCTCAAATCGGAAGAGAGTCACCACGTTGCAGCTCAGTGATTTAGGAGGTTGGAGGGGGCAATACAGATAACAGAGGGAAAAAGTACAGACTAGCACCTTACACCTGTGCCAATTCGTATCTTATTATGGTAATAACTAAGAATATTAATTTTTCGCGTTGCTTTTCTTAGAACAGAAATCCAAGCCATTAGCTTAAACATACACAGCCTTAAGCAATATACTTTTTGTACTAAACGTTACATTTCAAAATATTGGGAACAGTATGTGCTGATTTGTGTGCTGACTTAAGGGAACAAGAAGAATAACATTCAACCAGGGAGGGTTAAACTGACCACAAAGCTCTTTAAAGAGGGGAATGCCCTCCACTCCCTCTGTGCATCCCTCAGGCCCCACAGGGTCCCAGGAGGATGTATTATGAGAAAAGTATCAATCACAGCTTTAATAACACACTTTGGAAGGGATGAATGAGAAGGCAAATTGGATGGTGAAACTTTATCCTTGCTTTCAAGTAAGTGGTTTTAATCTGTTTGCTTTAGGAAAACTTTATTTACTATAGTATATCTAAACCGTCAATTTCTGCAGTTTTCAGGTAAAATCCAGCACTTTGTTTATCCAAAACTTGTGAGAAGAGGTCCGCAGAGATCATTCATATTAAGTCATGTCATCATCCATTCACGCCCCTGGCATAACCTCATGCACTAACATTGGCAGAGTTCTTCTCTCGTTACGGAAATCCTCTGTCTGTCTGAACTGTCCACGGCAACTATTACAAACTGTATTAGTGTAGTAAGTGTTCCAGGAAGAGCGAAGAGATTCTGGGCTACCAATAGCCTGCATCGGGAACTGTGTATTCTTTGTTAATCACTAGTTCTCCTACATTACTTCCTACTGTAGGGGATGTATGTACAGCTTCAGTAAAGAATGGTAGTTTCCCCTGCATTATCCAAACCAACAGTGGAAACTTTGGTGACTGAACAGTCTCTATGTCCTGGTGAAGAGAATTCCCTCCAGCCTCCTGGACCTCCAGGCCTCCCTTGGCTCCAGTTGAAGGGGAGACAGGCACACTGGAGCCTCAGCCTCTGAGGCTATAGCTCCAGCACTGGTCCCCGGCTGCTCCCAGGAAGTCAGAGGGAGGCTGCCGCGTTGCCTCTCCTCTTTCATTCTGAAGACAGGGCGATTAATCAGGGTGTACTTGCAGCCGCCCTGATAATCATGGTAGGGTGACCTCACAGAAATGGAGATGAAAAGAAGAAGACAAATCAAGAGATAGTTAGCAGGGACATTCAGCTGAAGGGAAAGTGGGTTGTGGCAGGTTTGATAAGTTCTATTTTGGTAGCTGATTATAGAGCTGAGTGGGTCCAAAGAAAAGGTCTTAAAACTTCTTCAGTGTCTTAAACGTTTATCAGTGTTGTTATGGTTTGTGTCTAGATTTTTCCCCAAAGCCTCAGGAGGTCATGGCAGGGGGCTGGGCAGGCCTTTTGGAGATGACTGAGTCTAGCATTTGTGATTGGCTCTTTGTCCAGCACTGGGATTGGTGGTGTGTGTGCTACACCCACCCCGGGGCAGGTAGCTGGCACACAGTATAACAGAAGGAAAGTGACTTGCTTCCCCCTTTTGCCCTTTCTTGCTCTAGTCACCCTTGGTACCTGTTGCCGCCTTGAAGTGTTGCCCCTGTGCCATGCCACCCTGCCTTGGAGCCAGCTGAGCATGGACTGATATCTCCAAAACACTTTAAGCTAAATAAACCTTTCCTTCTTTCATTTTGGGTGTCGAGTGTTTTATCCTAGCAATGAGAGAAAAGTAATCAAGACAGAATTTGTTACCAGAGGAGTGGGGTCATTGCTGTGACTGTACCTGACCATGTGGTTCAAGAGCCTTTGGGAATGGCTTGTGGGAAGAGTTTGGAAAGGTCTGGAGATGTTGTCTGAAAGATTTGCACTGAATCATCTTAAGCTGTTTTGTATGGGAGATTCTAGTCAGAGCCTAGGAAACCAGACGGCTGATAGAAAACCTCCTGGTAAGGACCAGGCTTGGGAGGTTTCTGCTGGAAGGAAGGACTGCGTTGGTTGTTGGACTCCAGATGATGTGTGCTATGGTGTGGCAGAAAGTTTGTCCGCATTTTGCTCATGTCCAGAGACTTTGCCTGAGAGATTAAGGGTGGTGGACTAATTAATCTGGCAGAAGAAATTTCAAGGCAGTCAAATGTTGAGGTAGTGACATAGCTATTGTTTGGGGCTTTTAGCCAGACTTATGTTGTGAATCAAGAGCAAAGAGAACAGCAGAGTGATTTAAAATATTGTGAGTTTGGCCAGGAAAAAAACTCCAATAAAGCCATGGACTGCAAAGATAGAGCTGAGATCTCAATTGCTGAGAAGGAACAGAAGAATACAGAAGATAGCCTGAGGGCGTCATGGGAAGCTATGGGTCTCTACCCTTTGCAGCCTCAAAAGCGCAGAAGAGAAAGACTTTGTTTTGAGGAGAGAGCCACAGAGCACCACATTCCAGAATGGTGGTGGCATAGAGAAGCTATTCCTCATAATCAGGTTCAGAGCACTCAGCAATCCAGGTACTGGACCCCTACAGCTAAGACACAAGAAGCCAGTGGGATGAAAGCCTGCCTACTGCTCCACCTGACCGCAGACCTTGGCATCATCCACATGGCACTGATTTTAGGTGCACACAAAATGCACAAGTGAAGGCTGGGAGGCCAGGCAGTGCACTCCTGAGAGGGCAGTATGTGAACCTGTGAGTGTGAAGCCAGAGGTACTGTGGAAACTCTAGAAGTTTGGAAAAGCCAGGAGTGTGGATCATCTAAGGAAAGCTTCCAGGAGGAAGCAAAGTCAGCCTAAGAGAGAAGCTGTGGGAGCTACAGCCACTGGAAATATGATTGGGGTGGAGTCACCAAGCCTTCTGGAGCTCAAACAGGATTGCTTCACATGCTGAATGTGGAACTCCAGGACTTAATGTTTACCCTGCTGGATTTTGGACTTGCTTTGATCCCATTCTTTTGTATTACCCTATGTGTACCTTTTGGAATGGTAATGTTTATCTTGTGCCATTGAATGTTGGAAGTGTTTAACTTTGTTTTCATTTGCCCAGGGGGTTATAGCTAAGAGTTTGCCTTAGATCTTGGAGGAGACTTGGGACTTGGACTTTTCAGCAATTAGGACTTTGGCAACCTTGGAGATGGGGCAAATGCCTTTCCCATAAAGGATTTGCATGAGTCTTTGGGGGGCCAGGGGTGGAGTGTTATAGTTTGCATCTCGATGTCCCCTCCAAAGCCTCATGTGGTCGTGGGGGGTGGGCAGGCCTTTTGAAGGCAGCTGAGTCCAGTGTTTGTGATTGGCTCTTTGTCTAGCATTGGGCTTGGTGGTGTGAATACTGCACCCACCCAGGGGCAGGTAGCTGACATACGTATAACTGAAAGAAAGCAACTTGCTTCCCCCTTTTGCCCTTTTTTGTTTTTCACCTCTGGTGCCAGCCACTGCCATGAACCACTTCCCCTAAGCCACGCCACCCTGCCTCCTTGGAGCCAGCTGAGTATAAATTGAAACCTCCAAGAACTGTAAGCTAACTAAACCTTTTTTTCTTTCATTTTGGGCATCAGGTATTTTGTCTCAGCAATGAGAGAAAAGTAACCAAGACATATGTATAGAGAATCCCTGATGATGACTTATGCTCTTAATGAGAATATAATGGAATTAAAAGAGTTGCTCAAAGTGTTTTAAAGGCGCAATCAGGTTTTTTTTTCCCCTTAAGTCCTTACAGGTTTTCAAGGGAAGAGGACCACCTGACAAACCACCTGGCACTCCTGTGACGGCATCACAGGGCTGCACAGAGAGGTGGCACCTGCTTGCTGGTCACACAAGTCTCTTGGGCAGTTTGATGTTTCCCAAGTTCTTTTGTTTTAGTAATCAACACATATTGGCTAAGTCTCCCACACAGTAGCTCTTCCCTGGGCTGATGGAATTTTATAGGC